TAGTGGTCATTAGAAAGTATAACTACATCAGCATGTTTTTTTTGGGGGGGTTAATAATACCTTTAATGGACGAACAGCTCACGTTCAATCTGTCTGTAAATCCTGTGAACTCCTTATCCAAAACAGATCTCTAATCTGTGTCAGCTGCCAATGACCTAGTGTAAGTTCCTGGTTGATCAACACACTAACCTGTACGATAGCCCACAACAAGCTGAGTTAAAAATAAGCTTAGCAAAAAGAAGTTTAAATTTAAAAGCATAAAAGGCATCAATTAAAAGCCATAACTACTAATCTTGCCCTGTTAACAAAAGATGCTTCCTGAAAATGGCAAGAGTTCTAATCATCTCAATGTGCCCTTGTGCTTGCAAAGTGGCCAGATAGTCAACATGAAATTAGAGTCCTTGAAAATCTAGAACAGTGGTTTGGCATGGTGATCCATGCCTATAATCCCAGTACTTGAGAGGTTGAGATAGGAGGATCAAGAGTTCAAGACCAGCCTGGGTTACATAGCAAGGCCCTGTCTCAACAAAACAAATCTAGAAAAAACAAACTTTAATAAGCTTGAACAACTCACATAGTGAGTTATTAGTCAGAGGATATTGTTGCATATAGAAATGAAGGTCTTTAATAAGACATTTTGAAATATTAATTAAAAAATAAAGACTTTCTGATTTCAGTCAGTTTAAGGCCCATGCGAAGGACCTTCTTAGTTTATCTGAGGTTAGATAACAACTTGACCATCCCTGTACTTATCAGCCTTTAAGATTCCTTCCAGCTTCCATATTCTTTCGATCCTCTGAATGCATTTATAAATATATGCTAGATGAGTGAATGAATTAATAAAATAATGAATGAATGAATACAAAGAAACCTATATGAACTCTGGAAAGGTACTGAAATCAGAGCCATGATTTTCGAATTTCCTCAGTGAAACACCTATAAATCTTGCAACTTCTTTGAGGGACTGGGGTTTGAACTCAAGGCCTTGTACTTGCTAGGCAGGTGCTCTACCACATGAGCAAAACCTTCAGCTTGCAGTGTTTTGAAATGTGAATTTATTAAACCTTAATGACTGAACATATTGTATCTCTGGAGCATGTATAAGAAACAAATACAATTGGATGCCACCAAGAGGGGTGGGGGTGTTGAACTGGATGTTGGGAGACAGGGAGAGAAGTGAGACTTATCCTGTTCTGTTACCCTTTACTCCTTTTGAATTTTAAATAGTAATTAAAAGACATGAGTCACTAAAAATTAACATATTTTAATTACTACCTTGATTTAAATTGTAGTAAAGTAGTAAGGATCAAACATTTCACAGAGATATAAGGGGCAAACTTTATTTTATAAATTTAGAAAACACCACTGCTGTTTGATTCTGCAGATAAAACATCTTGATCTGGTATTCTTTTGGAGCCTACTTTGGGAATTGTGCCTCTTTCAGAAAGAGAATGTTGACGGTTAAAACTTTGCTTGGATAACCTTTAGAGAATTTCATGGTGATTTGGGAGGAACATTCTCACAGATGAACCCTTTAAAACCATTAATGATCTGAGGATGAGGCTCAGTGGTAGAGTACTAGCCTAGCATGCACTAGACCCTGGATTTGATTCCCAGCACCGTAAAACACAATAAAATATTAAAGGACCATCATTTTTTATAAAGTGGATCATTGTTTTATCGACCATTTTTCCCAGAAAATTAAGCATCATGAATAAAAGAATGAGATCAGTAAGTATACATACGTATCTTTATGGACTACGGAAGTCAAGTCATGCGAGGACAAACCAAGGACTTTGCTAGTGATAAAATCTTGGCCTCTCAGCTGCTGTTGACCAAGGATCTTCAAGATGGGATTCTATGGCATGGGAGTTTCTTGTTTCAGGAAGAGTACCTCACACAGGTTAGTACCCAAACTAGAGTTTTCTGTTAGATGGCTCTTAGTGACCAAACCTATGTCTAGGACCCAGATACCCTATTTATTCAAGAAAGAGGATAGAAAAGAAATGATTGATGAATACATGTATTATAAAGGTATCATCTGTACAATTTTCATTTCCTCAAGTGTTTTCTTTCAGGTGTCATAGTTAAAACTCATGGCAACCCTGTGAAGAAGGCTGTTTGTTTTTTCCCCTTGATGTACAAATGTGGAAACTAAGGCTCTGACAGGGCGAGTGATGTGACAGGATCATACTGTTGGTAATTAATTTAAAGTTAGATCTTTTGATGTGGGGGCTATTGGTGACTTGAACTTAGAATGCTATCCTCTTTATTTCAGGTTTTAACTCTATCTTTAAATTGTGCTCAAACTTCTTCTACAGGAGGCCATTTTAGACAAGCCCACACAGTTTTTCTAGTTCTAAGTCTCCCAACAACTTGTTTCTAGTATCTAGTTTCTATCTAGTATCTATTTAACAGTGTCTATTATTTATCATATTCCAGCATAACTTTTACTTTTTTTTACTGTACTTGTTTGCTCTCTATTAATTCTCTCCCTTTATTTTATATAAATTATCTTATTATAAATAGTATCACCCCTAGTTTGTAGACATTAAGCTTTTTATATCTTTATTATAAATAGTACTACCCCTAACTTGTAGACATTTACCATCTTTTTTTTTTTTTTTTGGGCAGTTCTAGGGTTCAAACCTAAGGCCCTATGTGTGTTGGTGAGTGTTTTACCACTGAGCTACATATACTACCTATTTTCAATAATATTCAGATGAATACAAGATGACTAGAGAATTGTGGTTTCAAACTTCTTTGTGCATAACAATAATGAGCTTATTAAAAATAGATATGTGACTTTCCCATAGGTTCTGATACTGTGTTTCTGGGGGTGAGATCCAGGATCTGCATTTTAAACAAGCACCCCAGAGGATCCTGATGTAGGGGATCCAAAAACCCCACTTTCAGAAACTCTGCAGTTGAGAGTTAAAAATTAGACTGTTCTACACTGCATACCCATCCTGTGCATATCTATGCTAGTAGGGGATTCAGAGGTCTTAAATATCTGAGTTCTTGCTCTCAGTGTTTATACACTTTCAGGGGAGAAAGGACACACTGCCAAGTCAAACAGTAGGCGACATTAGGTCTTGTGAGTGATATGGATGAAATGTGCAGTAAGAACACAAAGAAAGGAGGAATCACTTCTGGCCAGATTACCACGAAAAAGCTTCATAAAAGGTAGGAGTTGAGCTGGGTCTTCAAGAAAAGACAGTTTCAACACGCTGGGGTAGGATGAATTATTTCAAAATGTTGGAACAGCAAAGACTAAATATCAAGAAAACATAATTACGTGAGGAATGAGGATATGGACCGCTGTGTCTGAATTGAAAAAAAGAAATTACCCACATGATGGAATTTACACTTGGAAAGACAGCTAAGAGTCTGATTGAAGATAACCTTGAACTTGGACTTTATTCGACAGGTGTTAGGTGGCTCTTCAAACGGGCAGAAAAGATAAAAGTGGTGTGTTGAAAAACTGATCCGGCAGTGGTTTTGAAGCCCTGAACTGTTTGGTGGTTGGTTGTGCAAACTGTAAAGGAGGACCGATTTTGAACCTTTGCGAAGGTGGATTAAACTTGACGTGGAGTTTGACTGGATGAGAAGAAAGGCGCCCTAGATGCTGCTGAGGTCTGTACATCCTTGGCTGGGAAGATTGAGTACAATTTCACAACCCAGTAAATGTGAATAAGGGTATGTTTTGAGGCTAGGCCTGGAATTCAACTTTGTACCCAAGTGTCTTTCATCTGCGCGAATGCATATTGAATCGCTTTGCTTAAATACTTGGCAGTTACTTTTAATATGTCGAAAGGGAAAAGTCTGGAATTTCCCGGGAAGGACTGCAGATTTGGGTCCACCAGAGCAAAAGGAAGACAGTTCACTTATTGAGTATTAATATACAGAAAGTATTGCCCCAAAACCACTAAGAAGAACAGTCTTTGTCCTGAAATTTAAAATCTAGACGTTGTCTCCAAGAGATCCCAAGTAAATGGCAAGACCCCAAATCCCCAAACCACTGATCAGCGAATTTGTATTTGTGTAGGAGTCCCTGAAGGTCTTCGCTAAAGGAGGGTGAAAATTAGTGGGCCATTAAATTGGGAAAGAGAAACCTTTTTTTGGAGGAAGCAGCCTTGAAGAACTCTTTGAAGTAGTATACGCTGGATTGCCCAAACCCTAGTGAGAGCAGCTCTTAAGAGAGTTGTGGTGCCGAAATCACCAGAGCTACAAATTTATTCACCAACTGCCAATTAAGTGGTTTAGGGCCAGAGAGGCTCTAAATCCCGCCCAGAAGCTCAGTACTTTGCACTGATTGGATAAACTCACCTCCTCGCCTACCCTTCGCCTGTCAATCACAATGCTAGCGTGCCCACTCGGCCATTGCTCCTCCCCTTTCAGTGACGCAACACCTGGCGCTCTTTCGGGCTCCAGCCCCCCTAGGTCCCCACCCGTCGCTTCGGTTCCTTATTGGCCAGCAGAAAGGAGAGCGAAGTGAAGGGACGTTCTCTTTTGACCTTTGAACTAACACCTCTAGTTTCCCACTCTTTTTACAGGCTGTCAGGAGAGCAATTTTAGCCTGGAGCTGCGCGTAGGCGTGCAAAAAGGCCCGCTGGTGGAGGGCAGTTCTCCTCCCTCTCTAGAGAATTCATTACGTTGTTGTGACGCAGATGGCATCCCGCTGGCCGCCTTCACTTGTGATTGGCTGTGACCGAAGTCCGTCACACAGCCACTCCCCCTCCTCTGCCTCACCTCCTAGCTCCGGACGCTTGAGAGACTGCCCAGGAGGCCCCGCCTTCCCCCGTTTCTGCCGCTTAGCCCCGTGATTGGCTAAGAGAACTGGCATGCTTTCCCGCCCCCTGCCCCCTCCGGAGCCTCCAGAGGCTGGCAGGACCCCGCGGAAGTTGTCAGTCAAACTCCTCCCTCCACCCCCCGCGAGGCCCTTCCCCCGGGCCGCGCGCCTTTGCGCGCGCGCGCACGCACACACATTCCCCCTTGCCTGTACCAACCACCTTCTCAAGTTGTAGCGGTCGCTCGCCGGGGGTTCTCCGTGGGCGGCCGGCGGGCGCCTGGGGGAGGGGGTTCGGACCGCGCCGCGCTACGAGCGAGTGCGTGCGCGCCGAGATTCGGGGCTGCAGGTCACCCACGGTCCCCGGCGATGAGGGGCCGGCGCTGACAGGGAAGAGAGGGCACCGCGGCTGTGGCTCCGAGCGGACCCGCGATGGCAGCGCCCTGGGAGGAGGCTCCAGGCAGGGCGGACGGCGCTGGCAGCGGCCGCTGAGGTGCTAGCCGGCCGGCCGGCGGGCCACCAGGACTGAAGGGACGAGAAGCGCGCTCAGCGTGCGCACCGCTGCGCCCTCACCTCAGTTGTCCAAACTTCAGGCTCCCTTCCACCCGCCCTTCGCGACCGGAGTCAACAACTTCTTCACCCCCCTCCGCCCCCGCCCTTCCCTCGGCCACCCCGGGAGTTCGCCGCGCGACCGGGACCGACCAGGCACCTCCGGCGCGGACATGTGGCCGTGAAGCGTTGTCGGGCGGCGAGGAGAAGCTCGGCGGTGCCGGGAGCGGGAGGGCGGTGTGGCCGGGGGCGCAGGGGCGCCAGCTCTCCACGCCGCTCCCCCGCCTCCCCCTCCTGCCGCTGCCGCCGCCCGTGCGGTGCGAGCAGCAGCCGGAGCTGCCAAGCGCCAACGCCGCGGAGATGTCGTCGTCGTCGTCGTCGCCGCCGCCGGTGGCGGGGGCTGCCAGCGCCGCCATCTCGGCCTCGGAGAAAGTGGACGGCTTCACCCGGAAATCGGTGCGCAAGGCGCAGAGGCAAAAGCGCTCCCAGGGCTCGTCGCAGTTCCGCAGCCAGGGCAGCCAGGTGGAGCTGCACCCCTTGCCCCAGCTCAAAGGTAACCTTCGAGGGGGGCAGCCCCGGGAGCGAGCGAGCGAGCGAGTTAGCCAGCCAGCGCTGGGGCTGCTTCGCTCGCCTCTGCGCCAGCAGAGCCATTTCCTTCTGCGCGCGGGTCTCCTGGCCAGCTGGGGCTCGCGCGCCCCACGACACTCCCCCACCCCCTCCTTTCGATCAGACGGGTTTGATGCAGAGCTCCTGGCTCCTGACTTCTCCCTGACTCACCTTAACTCTTCCCATCTTGCAGGCCGACACCCCTTCCCACCTGCGCGCTCGCTGAACCTGCCCTTGCCGTTGGCACTCGTGCGTCCTGCGGGGTGGAGAGCTTCCCTCTTCCCCGGCCTTGCTTGCCCTCGCTCTGCCTTGCTTTAGTGTCTTGTCTCCTCTTCCGACCCTCGCTGTTCCAGGTCTCAGCTCCTCTTTTCCGCCACTCTTGGCTGATCCTTCACGTTTCCTGTTATAAAGCTGTCTGCACCCACCCTCCTCTGAACTCCCCTTCCCATCGATGGTTCCTAAGACTCACCAGTTCAGGAATCCGAATGCCAACAACGGTTAAAAGTTAGCTGGCCTTTAGATGTACTTATAAAGAAAAAGCCTAAAAATTGGACCAGGGTAGTGTCTTATTTGCTGTCCCTTAGACTATCATCCGAGAGGATACACACTTATCAGTTTGGAGAGGTATGAAGGGATAGATAGTGTTGCTTTGTAGTGAAATGGGAACTTGGTTCACAGGGCAGTGATTCCAGGGACTTTGTAAGGTTTGTACAGTAATTCAAATTGGTGTCTATGCCTAATGCCTTGCAGGAGTTCTTGGCACTCGTTTTGCTCACTTTTTCCACAAGATTTTTCCCGGTAAGTTGTTTCCTGAGGTTCTTGCCTATTCTTTGAGAATTACTTTTAATTTTGTGATTATCACATCTTTGTTTTTTATGAGGTAGAAGTTACAAGATGATTATGTCCCCAGACATTTAAAAAATTCTTGCAACAGAAGAAACTCGATAGAAATCTACATCATCTGTTTTACAAGGCCAGGAAATTAAAAGTTCATACTAAAATAGATAAATGTCGAGCAGATTTTTCAGTTCACTTAAAAAAGATGCAGCATCCCCTTCAAGGCCAGTCTGGTTCTAATTTGTCTTTGGGCCTATGAATCCAGCCTTAGTTTGGCAAAGGGTCTAAAGAAAACCCCAGATGAAATCACAGTTGACATACAATAGTTTTGGAACCCCATCCAGACCCCACACTGCCCTGCCTCTTGGGGTGCTTCTAAATCAAGGACATCCCATAGTCGGAATCAAACAGGCTTTTGAAAAGAGGTTTGAACATATATTTAACCAGTGCTATTGCACTTATTATTTGATTGCTCTTTAGCATACTAAAAAAAATTAAATTTACATAGCCTAGTCAGTGGTAGACTGCAGTGGTAGGCATTGTTAAGACTTTAACTCTTGTGTCATGTCATGCTATAAAAGAATATCTTCTTAGGATATTGAATTGTTATTCATAGCTTTAAATTTCTACACTTAAACCATCATAGTTTTTATGCTTTTGATTTTTTTCATTTAGCAAATTGTTTTTGCTGTTTGAGGGCTTGATACTAGCATTTTTCTTTCATATTTAATTTGGTCTTTTAGTAAGATATTCTGATTCCTAGTATTGTGCTTGATAATATTCATTTTATTTAATGAAATAATTGAACGCTAAACATGATTAGTCTTAACTAGGGGATGCAGCTTAAAAACATTTTAAAAGCTGGCAAAAAAAATGCACAAAACCAGTGATCGTGTAAATATATGGTGTTTGGCTCAACAAGTTGAAGGTGCCATAAATGTTTTTGTTTTCAGTATTTGGTCAGTAGTAGAGAACAAAAATAATAAAATTGGAATGTGAAATTAATGTTAGATATTTGCATGAAAGTATAGTATTCCTCATAAGGGATTATTATTCAAGATAAATTTATGTAGATTTAATTCAGGGAATAAAACCCTTACTTGAATTACCCAGTGACAGAGAAACTACTTTTATTCCTGCTGCCAAAATGTTTGACAAGTGATTTTTTTAAAAAATTGAACTGCTTCACTTGCTTGGTAGTTTGGCAGTGTTCTGGATTCCAGTGTTGTGTGGTTTTTTTTTCTATCAGTAGTAGTGTTTTCCCTTTGTGGCTTTAACAGAAACAGTGGAATGCTCTTTAGTGTGTGTATCTGAAATCTGGTGTTATTATGGAGTGATTCAGATATCCGTGGGCATCCAAGATTTTTTCAAGTGTTTATACCAACATGCTTACTTTACACTTTGTCCACATGGGTCTGAACTGGAAAGGTGCCAACTCAAAGCATACTACCAGTAAGGATTAACAAAGTAATCCAACTTTTTCATCTATAAGCTTATTCTTGCAAAATCAAATGATTTTTACTAAGTAGTAAGTGGGTTGTAGGATTTTGATGGTGAAAACATTCAAAACAAACTGTTTTGCTGTAGAGAGTTTTTAATAAACAAGCCTTGTTAAAGGTTGTTTTTTTTAAGTGAGAAACTGTTATGAGGGCCCCAAAAATTAAACTACTTTATATTTTAAAGCTTAAAATTTATTTTAAGTTCTATATTTTAAGCTTCCAGAGCACATACTTTTCATGCGCACACTGTATTTGAAATACACCTTAGCAGAGGACCTATTTTCCCATCTTAAACTTTTCATCTGGTAACCAACAACTGGAAAATTACCTTAAAAAAAAAAAAACTTATTCACAATAGGAAGTTTTCAGTCTGTTTAACCTATTTTGGTTTAAGTTTCTGGAAGGATTGAGTTTGTAAAGTAGCTGATGCCTTACATTTAGGTAACAGTTTAACATTTTGAAGTTACTTTACATTTTTCTTTATTTTTAATTATAAAACAGTGTTGCTTATGTCAAGTGGAACAATCCAGAGATGTATAACTTTTAATTTCTGTTACCTGCTTTTTTACACCTACTTTGGTAATGCTATTGTGTGACAGTCCAGGGTTCAATGTTATTTTTGCAAATACTGTATGTCATTGGGTCATCCCAACAACTTTTTTGCAAGGCTAGTTATTCTCATTTTATTGATGAGAAAGTTGAGGTTTAAACAGATTAAGTTTCAGACTTGTAATTATTTATCTGGATGATGTTGCAACTGACATTGGGACTCAGGTCAAATGATTTCAGTAATTTTGCTACCTGTTTTATGTAAATTTGAAAGCAGTAGAAGAAGTTAGGTCATTGGAGTTAGTCCTGAGTCAAAGGTAAATTTTTAATCTTTCTGAGTCATTTTCCTTATCTGTGAAATGGGGATAATGCCTTCTATCCTTAGGATTGAAGAGATTAAGTGAAATAGTTTAGGTGCCTAAAAATAGGCAAAAGAATGTTAGTTCCCATTCTCTTTTATATTTGAAAATCCAGTTAAAATATTTTTAAATGAAGGATTATTAATAGGATTACTTAATAATTTTTCCTACAAAATTTCCTAAAATTGTATTTAAAATACAATTTTATTTATAATGAGTTATCAGATGTGATTGATGTAAAGTGAGGTGAAACTGTAGTGTTTTCCAGCATGAGTAGAGAAATGAAAATAGGATAAAGTCAGACTCTTGAAAGTGCAATAAAAAGTGTAGTAAGATTTTTTTTCTGGTACTGAGTTTTGAACTCAGGACCTTGCTAGTCAGGCGCTCTACCACTTGTGCCATATCCCCAGTCCAAGAACATTTTTTTTTTAAAGTGGGCAAAGAAAAGGCATTAACCCAAATTATATAGATACACCTCTCTCATGGGATACAGCCAGTAAAGAGCAAAGGACAGAATGAAACTGGTTTTGAGATTGAAGTCCCCCTTCAGATGAAATAAAGAACTTCCTCAGTATCATTCAGATTCTTTGTTGGTCCATTGTTGGAAACTGGGTCCCACTGGAGGTATTGCTGATTGAAGTGATTTGCTTAGCATTAGGGGAAAAAAATGTGTGTACTTGTTTTCTTGAGGTTTGTGGTCTTCTGAATTAATGGGATAGGAACACTGACATAATCTGAAGTTTCCTAACTGTCTTATTTTGAGGGGGACACTACTACTCACTTAACCTTGAAGATTTATAGATGCTCACACAGTTAATATATCTAAACACAGATGTTTTTTGTAATTGGGGTGGCCCTATAGGAGATTTGAAATTCATCTGACTATATTAAGAGAAATGTTTTCAAAGGGATATGACATTTTAGTCATTTCAGGACTTTTAGGACTATTACACCCCTTCTTGAAGACTGGATTTTAATTTTTTTAGGATATACTTAGAGAAATTGCTTAATAGTGTCTAATGCTATTCCTCACATGAAGGAAAAGCTTTTTCTATTTAAATGTACATCATCAGAATTCCTATTTAGGATCAAATCCTCTTTTCCTCATTGCTTTCTTTGATTCTTAATTTTGGATTATTTTATGAAACACCTACTTGAATCCAGTAAAAGTATAAATGGCAGACTGGCATGAGCACTGGGGTAGAGCACTGTCTTGTGAGTAGCAGACTTAAATTGTCTTCCTGTACTACTAGTGACTTCAGTAGCTTTGGACTACTAGTTGTTTAACCTCTTGAATGTCACATTTTAATCACTTTCACCTGCAAGAATAACTTTTTCCTTGATGAAAATCACAAAGGTGAATTAGTCTTTAATGAGTTATTGCCCCTTTGCATTTCAAGGACAAATTCCCCCCCCCCCATGACAGATTTGTCAGCAAAAACAATACATTTAGGAATTAATAAGTGTTTGTGCTTTATTTTTTCAACTTAGTTTTTAGAATTGTAAACAGCTAGAGATAGAGATGGATTTATGTGTATTTTTATGTATTTAGCACTCTGGTTCTCAGGCCTTTCTGTGGAGCTTTAAAAAATACCAATACCTAGGCCCCACTCTCAAGAGACATTGTAAATAAATTGGTCTAGGGCAGAGCTCAGGCATATGTATTTTTAAAAGCTCCCAGGGTGATTGTAATGTGCGATTGG